GCTCCTTGGTGGCAAGGTGCCAAGTGGACAAGATTAGCCAGACTGCCCAGCTCCAGCCAAGGAGTCCAAGAATCTCGGGGTCTTGTTCACGGGTAAGGGTAGGATACCCACGGGGGGGTCAGGAGACCAACAGGCGGATCACCGCAGCAGTGAAACAGGCGCTCCACCCGACCGTCCCTGTGAAGAGAGAGCTGAGCTGGAAGAAGAAGTTCAGAATTGGTCTGCGCTCAGAGTCTCACCCATGGTCACAAATTCTGTGTCGTGACCGAGAGACCAAGGTCGCGGATACAAGCGGCTGAGGTGAGTTTCCCGAGCAGAGTGTCATGTAGTGTTAAAGCACTTTGAGGGGTCGGAAGACATCATTGATTCCTACTTTCCTCACAAATCCCCTCTGACACTGAACACACTTTAACAGCTGATTTAATAGCTGGGACCTGTTGGTTGTATCATTACCTTTTTCTAAATGTGCTTCAGTCTTTACCACCCACTTTACACTTTACCACTTCCCTTGTATGGTGCCGTCCTTCTGTTCAGACAACGTGGAGCTCCGATGTGCATTAAAGCTTCTCTATAGACCAAGAAGCTTTGACAGACTTCTTTGCTGCCCAGTAGGAACTCTGTCCCTTTTCAGCTGAATTGAGTCATTGAATCTGTACTCATGGCTTGTGTTTGATGATTTGTGTATTCTTTTTCTATATTTGAATAAATATCACGATCAAGGTTAAGATACTTTTGATTTCTCACAGGGACATAATTCACTCATTTCCACAACATAAATACTTACCCTTATCCCCAAACTAGACCCAAGCTAAACGAAACCCAAACTAAACTAAACTAAACCCAAACTAAACCAAAACCAAATCAAAACCAAACCAAACTAACAGGCGTCCAACCCCAAACATTTCCTTAAATGTCCCTGAAACACTGTAATGCTGTATATTTTTACAGCATACATAATTTTAGCATCCCTGTTTATCAGTTTCTATGAATTTTAAATGTATTACTGTGGTGGCGGGCGTGGTTTGGCTCAGCTGCAGGGGGGGGACTGAGAAGGGAGTGGTTCAGGGAACGGTGCCGGGGAGGCAATTGGCCTCAGCTGATGTGAATCAACAATCAGTATTCTGCTGTTAAGTAGGAGAGATCCGGCGACAGCGGGAGAGCGAGGCGAGGAGGCTGGAGCCGGTGTTGTTGTTGTTGTTGTTGTTGTTGTTGTGTGTGTGAAAATATAAATAAAAACCATTTACAATGGACCCGACTGCCTCGTGCCCGTCATTCCAAGACCCCCCCAGAGGACCAACCTGTTACAGTGGCACCCAACTTGGCTGGGGGGAGGAAATGTCGGCTGACGCACACCGGCAGGGCATGCCGACCCAGCCGCTTGTGGCGCTCGGCCAGATGATCGGGGAGCTGGCGGCCGTCCAGAAGGAGCAGGCAGAGGCGAACCGGCAATTCCTGGGGGCGCTCCAAGCCCAGGTGGAGAGACAGGCCCGGGCGCTGGAATGACCCGATTTTATTGGCCAGGCATCCGGGGGGACGTGCGCGTCCTGCCCGGAGTGTCAGTTAGTGAACGCTCCGGCCATTCCGAGGGCGCCGTTGCGTCCTCTGCCGTTGGTGGAGGTCCCGTTCGAGCGGATCGGCATGGACCTCATCGGGCCGTTTCACCGGAGCGCACGCGGATATCGCTTTGTGTTAGTTCTCGTGGATTACGCAACGCGGTATCCGGAGGCAGTGCCGTTGCGCAATATCTCTGCAAAGAGCGTCGCGCAGGCTGTTTCAGGTCATCTCCCGAGTTGGAATCCCTAAGGAGATTCTGACTGACCAGGGCACCTCGTTCATGTCGCGCACACTGAGAGAACTTTACGGGTTACTGGGCACTAAGTCCATTCGTACGAGCGTGTACCACCCGCAGACAGATGGGCTGGTGGAACGCATGAATAAGACTCTGAAGTCCATGATCCGTAAATTTATTAGCGACGATGAACGTAACTGGGACCACTGGCTTGACCCTCTGTTGTTTGCAGTGCGGGAGGTCCCCCAGGCCTCCACGGGATTTTCTCCCTTTGAACTTTTGTTTGGCAGGACGCCGCGGGGGGGTGCTGGACCTGATTAAAGAAAACTGGGAGGAAGGTCCGAGCCCCTGCAAGAATGAGATCCAGTACGTCCTGGACCTAGGAGCAAAACTCCACACACTGGGCCAGATGTCACGAGAGAATTCGCTGCAGGCCCAGGAGCGACAACAACGGCTGTACGACAGAGGGGCCAGGCTGCGACGATTCACACCGGGAGAAAAAGTACTTGTATTGCTTCCTACTTCCAACTCTAAACTCCTAGCCAAGTGGCAAGGGCCCTTCGAGGTCACACGGCAGGTGGGGGACGTCAACTACGAGGTGGTGCGGTCTGACAGGGACGGGGGTACACAGATATACCACCTGAACCTCCTGAAACCCTGGAGGGGGGTGGAGTCCGTCTCTCTGGTCTCTGCGGTATCGGAAGGGGAGGAGCTGGGGCCGGAGGTTCCAAAAGCAGGTAATCATACCTCGCTCCCTCGAGACGCTCATCTCTCCGAGAGCCAGAGAGCGGACGTTGCCAGGTTGCAGGAGCGGTTATGCTAATGTGTTCTCTCCCTTGCCAGGCCGGACCGACCTCATAGTTCACAGTATCGAGACGCCCCCGGGCGTGACAGTGAGGTCTCGACCCTACAGGTTGCCCGAACACAAGAAAGAAGTGGTTCGGAGGGAATTGGCGAGTATGTTGGAGTTGGGGGTAATAGAAGAGTCCAACAGTGCCTGGTGCAGCCCCATCGTCCTTGTGGCTAAGAAGGATGGATCTGTATGGTTCTGCGTGGACTATCGCAGGGTGAATGACGTGTCACGGTTCGATGCCTACCCAATACCCCGGGTCGACGAACTCCTGGACCGGCTAGGCACTGCACGTTTCTTCACGACACTGGATTTAACCAAGGGCTACTGGCAGATTCCTCTGTCGCCAGAGTCCAAGAGAAAACGGCATCTCCACCCCGTA